GCCATCTTGTGGCCACATGGAGGCAGCCATCGTGTGTGTTGGAGTGACGGTCAATTTGCATATCGCCTCTTATATAGGATAACTGTATGCGGGCTGTTGCTGTTGGAAGGCAAACTGTTTTATGAAATGATTAAAATTGTGGAGATGATTTGAAGCATGACTTAAAAGGACTCTTTATCCAAATTTAAAAGTTGCTGTTTCTCACAATCCTTATTTTTAATTTTTAGCTTTAATTGAAATAAGATCATCATCTAGGGTACGAATTGCTTAAATTAGCCTTTATTTTCACATTATGTAAATATATGCTGTGTTATGGACTGAATGCTTGTGTCCCCCAAAATTTATAGGTTGAAGTCCTTATTGCCAATGCAAAAATGTATTTGGAGATAGGGTCCATGTGGAGGTAAAGTTAAATGAGATCACACCCCAGCTGGTGTGATCTCATTTAAATAGCTTATTAAACAGCTTAAAATCAATATCCCAAAAAGCAGCTTCAGAGTGGCAGAATTTTGGTTCCTTCATCTTTATGTACTAGTTTGCAAAATAAGCAGTTATTAGCATCCTTCAAAGGCGATTTATTAGATTTATTGGTGTTTTTTAATTATTGTGGACTCAAGCATTTAAATGTACTTGGCATTTTTCAGTGTGTTGCAGCTACTCTTATTTATGCTCAGTTTACTCTATCTTGAGCCAGTGGAAATATTATCAGAGAATTGCATGAATTGCCCTCCTTTACTAGTAGGAGAGGGGCTCTTGAGGGTACCACTGGAGTAAGAATTTCCAGAGGCCCTCGTGGGAGGATGAGATGTGGTAGAAAGCTTTATTTGCATGGAATTACATCTCTGGGTTTCAAAAGTCCCATTTCCCTTAAACCAGTCCTGGAAGAAGTGCACCTGGGGATTCAGCAGAGCTAAAAGCAAAGCCAGTGTCCAGCGTTTCATCCCATGGCGGAGCTGGGTGCAATGTAACATCATACTAGTTTCATTCTAAACAATTAGATTAGCACGTTATAACTCATTTGCTTTATCCCACCCCTCTCTCACACAGACACATCCAAGTCTCAGAATATGCCGGTTAGGTATGAATTTTCAATACTTTTGGAATTCGTCAAAATTCCAAACAGAAAGCAAAAGAGAAAGTGGGGCTGCTTCCACACCAGGGTTGGCCCTGCCCCGGCGTGTTCCAGGACCGTTCTCCATCTCCAGGTTCTTGACTTGTGCTGGAAAAATTTCAATACACGAGCTTCAGTGAAAGTGAGAGTAAGTTTCTTAAAGCTGCGGACTGAGGCAAAGGAAGGACCCCTGGAGACAGGATCAGGAGGTAAGCTCGGGTGAGTTGCTGCTACCACTTGCTCCCCTGGGTGCAAGTCTCATCCGACCCTTAGAGCTTAGGATAGAAGAAGCAAAGTACACACCTGAGGAAAGGGGGCACGGGCCTGCTCAAGGTACAGCACACACTGGTGTCCTTTGTCCTGTGGGTTTTATCTGTTTTCTACCGGCAGGAATTTTAGGAGAAATCCCAGGGGAGGATCTCAACAGAACAGTTAGATTTCTGGGTGTGTCGTTTAGTATGCTGATGTATTAAAATGAGCCTGTATGCCCGGCTCGGTTGGTTGAGCATCATCCCAGGCAACAAAAGGTCACCATGTAGATTCCCAGTTATGGCACATGCCTGGGTTTCAGCTCCATCCCCCAGAAGGGACATGCAGGAGGCAGTTGACTAAGTTTCTCTTTCTATCTCTGTATTTCTATCTCTATCTCTGTCTCTATCATCTCTCTTTTTCTCTCTCTGTCCCCATTCCTCTCTCTCTCAAATCAATTTTAAAATACAAATAAAAAGTTATTTGAAATAAGTTAAAAAAATAAAATTAGTGTGTAATGGAGTTTAGGGTTATTCTCTGCTTAGTTTCACCTCTATCATGGATTAGTGTGTGTGTGTGTGTGTGTGTGTGTGTGTGTGTGTGTGATCTTTCTCCCTTTCTAAGGTGATTTAAACCACCTGCTCCTAGGTGTCTATGGTTAGGGACGACAGTCTTATGATTTATCAGCTGACTATTAATGGCTCAGCTATTCCAGCTGATTGTTCGGTCATTTGTCTCAGTTTTCTTATTCCACTTGCCAGGGAGTTTTTCTAGTTTCTTACTAACCTGTCTTACTGGGACTTGGGTTTTTAGTCACATGGGAGAAAAGAATGGTAAGGAATTTTAGGAAATAAAAAATAGGAAAGTCTTACAGGATTTTGTTCTCCATAATTTTTTGAAGGTCTTTGAAAAAGTCATAGAGTTTTTTTCTGCTTTTCTATATTCCAATTTCTAACATAAGGCATTTATTCTTGGGGGCCCAGCCAAGTTCTCATAGGAGGACTCTTCAAGATAACATTTCCCCCTTGTCAACATCTTAGGATGTCCAATGAACACAAAAGACACATAAAACTATATTCTAGGGTTTTTAAGTAAATATAGAAACCCAAAGTTATTTATTTAAAAATATATATATATATTCTCTTTCTTACCTCTGCTTTTAAAAGAAGTTAAGAAAGCAAGGTGATGGAATTTATAACCTTTATCTCTTTGAACAAGAAGAAACTTCTCTAAGAAGGTGTGGGGCAGGACTTGCACACTGTTCAGAAGCCCCATTAGTCCAAGCTCACCAAAATCACAGCAAACACTTGGTTTATGAAATGGTTGGAACATTTAAATCAAAATTGTGCCCGATTTAAATTGCCATTATTCTCTTAGCTGGACACAGCTTTAGTTTTCAAGTGCATTTTGTGACTTTGTATTCCCTAGTTGAGGTTTTCATCTTGCATACATGTACTATTTTGAAAAGTAGTTCTAACTGGGCATCTTTCCATAGTGACATCTGTGGACCTCTGTGTGTTTATTCCATAAGTTACAAATAAGGATGTTCTTGGCCATAGCAATGGATGAGCTGAAGCTTTGAAATACTTTTTCAATGAGGAAACTCAAAGTTTTATGAGAAAACATCTGCAAAAGTATATTAAAAACCATCTGTGGAAGTAGCAGAGCATCCTGACTCATAAGTCCAGGATCAGGAACTTTCTCATCAGATTCCATCCCTATCTTTCCCATTCCTTGTCTGTAAAAACCAAACATTTAGAAGAATTTAATGTGAGGAAAAGGAGAGCTACCCAGGCAGTTGCCCAGTGTCCTAGTCTCCTCAACTTGTAAAGCAGCTTTAGTTCTGGCCTTGGGGGAGAGTTTGCAGCCAGTTTTTTTTAAAAATACTTGTTTTTTTAAAACATATTTTTATTGATTTCAGAGAGGAAGGAAGAGGGAGAGAGGGACAGAAACATCAATGATGAGAGAGAATAATTGATTGGCTGCCTTCTGCACACCCCCTATTGGGGATCAAGCCCACAACCCAGGCATGTGCCCTTGATCGGAATCGAACCCGGGATCCTTCAGTCTGCAGGCTGATGCTCTATCCACTGAGCCAAATCGGCTAGGGCTGCAGCCAGTTTTTTGACTGGAGAGACACCTTGCCTTGTACTTTTTTCCTGATGAGCAAGAAAATCCCTGTTGACAATAGTAACAATATAATCCATAAGACACTGTGATCCTATCACTCTTCTGTTCAAATCTCGTGATGACACCTATAGGGGTGGGCAAAAGTAAGTTTACAGTTGTGAGTATAGGAAATGGGGTTTATTCTTTTAAGTTAATAAAGCTATTATAAATCATAACCTGCATGTCTTTCCACATGAACAACTGTAAACCTACTTTTGCCCACCCCTATATTTCATTCCGAGTTAAAGTCCTTACAATAGCATACATGTATGCTATCATAGACTGATGCAAAGATGGGCAGCCATATGTTCAGGTAAAAAGCTCAGTCTTGCCCAGCTGGTGTGGATCAGTGGTTGAGCATCGACCTATGAACCAAGAGGTCACAGGCTCAACTCCCAGTGTGGGCACATGCCTGGATTGCAGGCTCGATCTTCTGTAAGGGGCGTGCAGTAGGCAGTCAATTGATGTTTCTCTCTCATGGATGTTTCTATTTCTCTCTCCCTCTCCCTTCCTCTCTCTCCAAAATTGATAAAAAATACATTAAAAAATAAAAATATTAAAAAATAAAAGCTCAGAGTCTTGCCCTGGCCAGTGTGTTCAGTGGTTAGAGGGGTCACAGGTTCTATTGTCAGTCAAGGGCACATACCATGGTTGCAGGTTCTATCACCAGTCCTGATTGGGGTAAAACATTTTTTTTTTTTTTAAGAATAGTTTATTGACTTAGAGCAAGAAGAAGGGAGAAGAGAGAAACATCGATGTGAGAGCTTAACATCAATCAACTGCCTCCTGCATGCTCCCTACTGGGCATCGAACCTGCAACCTGGGCATGTGATCTGACTGGGAATCAAACCAGCAACCTTTTGGTGCATGGGAGGATGCCCAACCAACTGAGCCATACTGGCTAGGGCACAGTATTGTCTATTATTTCATTGTTTAATTACACCACAACTTAGTTACCTGTTCTTGTTTGGTGGACATTTAGTTAATTCCTTTTTTTTTTTCATTTATACATTTCTATGAATATTCTTGAGCGTGTTTTCTTGTGCACAGATGTGAAAATTTTCCTAGAATATATTATTAGGAGTGGATTTTGGGTCGTCTGCTAAACACATTTTAAACTTTAGCAGATATTACCAAGTTGCTTTCTAAAATGACTGTACTGCCCTGGCCAGGTAGCTCAGTTGGTTAGAGCATCTGATACGCCAAGGTTTCTGGGTTTGATTCCCAGGCACATACAAGAAGCAACCAATGAAATGCAACAATACTGTAAATGGATCAACAAATAATATTTCTTTCTCTCTCTCACACACACTCACTCAAAAACAAACACTTAAAAACAAATATTTAGGCTAACATCCTCTATCACTCTGCCGGACACTGCACCCCAATTCCCTGGGGAGGGCAGAGGAGTGGGGGCGGGACTACAGCCGCATCATCACGCCGCGCCGGCGCCCGCCAGCCTCTGCGCCGCCGTAGCCGCGCTGCCGTGGCCGCTCGCACTCGGCGCAAGGGCTGCCGGGACAGTCCCCATCTTCTTTGCGCGCGCGTTAGAAGAGGCGACGCCGGGGCGGCGAGGCGTTCTCAGTGATCGCGTGGCCCGGCTCTGCGGGACCGGGACCTTAAAGGTGAGCAACTCCCGGGGCTAACGAGGCGGGACCAGAGGCCCCGCTTTGCGTGGTGCACCGCGGCGCCTTCCCTTTCTTTGCTGCCTCACGCTGGGCGCCTCGGCTTCTCTCCTTCCTCAGGCTGGGGTCCTGGGCCGCGTGGGCCGCGGCCGGAGGCGGCGCGCTGGTCCGGGAGGGGAGAGGGGCCCTGAGGGGAATGCCGGAGCCGGGGGTTCTGCGCACAAACAAGAGGTTGGGAGCCGAGCGAGCCAGGGCTGCTTTGGGACGGGTCGGTGGCGGGGCCTTTGGACAGAAGCTGCCCGCCTCCCCGCTGCGTCTTTAAAGTGTCCTGCCTTCGCGGCCTTGCGGCGGCGCCTTCGGGCGGGCGTGGGGGCCCCTCTGTCAGTTCCCGGGGGGGGTTGGCGCGGCGGGACTCCGCGGGGGCTCCTGGGATCCTGTGGGACCGGGTGAGGCCCGGGGATCGGGGCTGTAGGTGCTCCGCTGGCGGAACTCTCGGGTTTCTAGGGTCTTCTTCACTCACTCTCATCAAGGCTTCTGTGCGAAATGTTAGCTGTGGCTAATATCTCACATCTTGTTTACATTCTGGGGAACACGATGATGAAGCGAAGTTCCAAAATTGGGTCGGCCGAGAAGTCTGGTGGGGCCTAGATCGTTCTTTACCCCTCCCCCCCTTTGTTTTCTAAGGGCCCTAAGTCATGGTAATAACTTAGGGATGTAGATTGCGGTCGGCAAACCAGTGCATATGGTTGAGCAGACTTGGTAGTGGATGTGCACCGGATAAAGCCCTGTTGCCAGGGCTGGCAGTGTGCATCCATCCAGGTTACTGGGGAGCAATTGCAGTGCCTGCGCCCGGCCTCCGAGGACGGTGCCATGAGGGGCTCGGCTAAGGGCAGAGACACTTCCGCACCGTGCGGATGACCGGACGGCTTCACGGCGCACCGGAGGCCAGCAGCTCCGAGCGAGGGGCCGTGGTTTTGTGTCCCTCGCACACCAACCTCACAGCCTCATTCTCCCCTGCCCTGCTAAGCCGGAGACTGGTTAGTTAGCCGATCAGTGGTTAGAGAATGAGAAGGCGCGCTGTACCCCAGCTCTGCAGGCCCTCACGCTGTCATTTCGTCGGCTGCTTCATGGGCAGCATCGAGTTGGGCCCTGGCAATAATAGGTGATCTTTTTTTCACCTGAAGTTATGATACTTGATCTTTGCTGGTAAAGGTTTCAGTAAGTCAGACTGTGACTAGTTTTAAAAGGAATTTGACCCACAGCAAACAAGTGGGGCTGAGATCCATAAGGAAGATAACCACTTGCTTTGTTACAGAAGATGGAGCAGTGATTTACTTACTGAAAGGGGTGTGCACCTTTTCACTTTCCCACCACTCATTCCAGAGTTTTCTTTTGTTGAAATTTGAGAATCGAGTAGAGGAACTAAAAATTACTGATTTCTTTTTAAAGAAAACAGTGGGATATTGGTAATTTTAAAACATTCTTTTTCTGATCTTGAGTTTTGTGCTAAAAAACAACAGTAATACCAATTCGGAAAAATTTACAGGTGACCACAATGGCTGAAAATGGTGATGAAAAAATGGCTGCCCTGGAGGCCAAAATCTGTCATCAAATTGAGGTATGATCCTTGTACTATTCAACTGTGGAAACGAGCCCTTTGAAAGGAAATTTTGGGCCTCAGAACAAAGACAGAAAGAACATTTAATTTCGGTCATATACTGACCCATTATCCAATATTTGGCTTGTCTTTGATTCTTGGAATTAGTTGTACATATAATAGTACAACTGTTTTATATTGGTGGAGCCAGTTCATGAAACCCGAAGACTGCAGGCATTTCAAAAGATAACATTGTAGACTAATGTTACTTACCTTTTTTCTTTGGTTTCCTAGTCTATAAACTAAGGATAATAGTACTTTCCTTATAAGGTGGCTGTGAGGGTTACATGTAATAAGATGTAAAACATACAGCAGAGTGCCTGGCACTTACTGAGGTGGCATCATTCTTTGTGAAGTACCTTCCCTGTTAACTAGCACTTTATATCTGTGAAGATCTTAGTTGTTATTCCTGCCCAGATAGTTCTCGGCAGTTGTAACTTTTAACAGCATATTTGTTTGCAGAGTCCACTTAGCATTTTTTTTTTAAATATATTTTATTGATTTTTTACAGAGAGGAAGGGAGAGAGATAGAGTCAGAAACATCGATGAGAGAGAAACATCGACCAGCCGCCTCCTGCACATCTCCTACTGGGGATGTGCCCGCAACCCAGGTACATGCCCTTGACCGGAATCGAACCTGGGACCTTTCAGTCCGCAGGCCGACGCTCTATCCACTGAGCCAAACCGGTTTCGGCATCCACTTAGCATTTTTTTAAACATTTGTATTTGCAAGTCGAAGCTTTACAATAATGGCTGCTGTGGGTAATGTCTTAGTTTCTATTTTATGTTTTTACTGAAAAACTTCATATTATTTGGTGTGTTTTTGGCAATTCTCAACTATTTTTTAAAAGTTTTACTTCTTTGTCATTTAAAATTTCCTATATTGCAATATTTTGTACTAATTTCTTTAATTGTGAAGAAATTATAAATTATTCTGTGTTAATATTTAGAATAATACAAAGAAGCACATAGAAAACATTAATGATGTCCCTTCTATACCCTGTCACCTCTCAGATCCCACCCTCCTGAGGTAATTGAGGTTAAAGCCCAATGAATACACTTTTACACTTTGGTCAGTGCTGACACTAACATAGTTTTTAATTCCTTCCCTTTCCTCCACCAACCATGGGGTGCAATATACCCCATTCCCTATTTGATATGTAGGGTATTTCCAATATTTTAGCTATAACAGTTTTATCATGATATCTTTACATATAAATTAATAAACATGTTTACTGATTTAAAGGTTATACACATTTTTTAAAAACTTTCAATAATTAAGGCCAATTTACATCTCTGCCTGCATGACCATTTCTCTGTATTCAGGACAATACTAGGTATACTTTTTAGAATTTCGGCCAATTTGTCAGGTGAAAAATGCTATTTCATTAATTTATATTTCTTTGATTAATAATGAATTCAATTTATAGTACATGTTTAGTTTTAGTAATTTTTTTAATGTCCTTTATTCATTTTTTTTATCAGTGTTTCCTGGGGTTTTTTCTTCCAGACCCTTGATTCCTAAGAATTATTAGACTTATGTGTTTGTCTTATTTTTGGCATTCCAAGTAGTCACACTTGGGCCTTTTCATGTATAGTTTTTTCTTGTTTTTCTACTGAGAAAGGGTGCCTCTATGCTTAAATTAGATATACACTTTTAACTTTTAAAAATTAGAGTGATTAACCAGTTTATTCCAGATTTTAAATTTATTCTTTGCACACTGATTTGAAGCAAGAGGTTTTTTTATATACTAAATCCTTAGGTATGTTTTTATTTGTTGTTGACCTATCTGTTAATTACATTGTTTAATCAGCTTTTAGTTTTACGTTTTTGTTAAATTTGTATTATAAATATTTAATTATGGTATCTTTAGGAGGAAATATTGCCGCTTAAATTCTGACATGTATTTTTTAAAATATGTTTTTATTGATTTTAGAGAGAGAGAGGAAGAATGAGGAGGGGAGAGAGAGAAAGAGAAACATTGATTTCCTGCCTCCTGCACACCCCCCCCCACTGGGGGTCAAGCCTGAATCCAGGCATGTACCATAACTGGGAATAGAACTGGTGACCTTTTGGTGCATGGGATGACGCGCAACCAAACGAACAATACTGGCCAGGGCATGACATGTATTTTTAAAGAATATAACTTAGTGATGTGATAGTAATTAAAATAAAAACCCTCCAGAGTTGGAGTCAGTATTATACAATGATCTGAAATATATTGTAATTATCTTGCAGTATTATTTTGGTGATTTCAATTTGCCACGGGACAAATTTTTAAAGGAACAAATCAAACTGGATGAAGGCTGGGTACCTTTGGAAATAATGATAAAATTTAATAGGTAAAAACCTTTTAAAAACCATCTTTAGATTTTCTGTTAACAAGTGCTAGTACTAAGTCTTACAATGTTTTTACACATATTCTTCAGGTTAAACCGTCTAACAACAGACTTTAATGTCATAGTAGAAGCATTGAGCAAATCAAAGGCAGAACTCATGGAAATAAGTGAAGATAAAACCAAAATCAGAAGATCTCCAAACAAACCCCTCCCTGAAGTGACTGATGAGTATAAAAATGACGTAAAAAACAGATCTGTTTATATTGTGAGTGGGTCTTTAATGCAATTAATTATAACTTATTTATTTAGAAAGAATGGATGATAGAGTTGATGAGAATAAGGGCTCAGGAATCATAGCTTCACTACTTATTATATGTCCCTCACCACCTACTATATGTTCTTAATCTCTTTAAGCCTTATCTTTATAAATGGGGATAATATTTTTACCTTATAGAAGTGTTGTGAGAATCAAATGAAAAACTCATATACCATTGGATAAAATATTTAGCATATAAACACCCAGTGCATATCACCTGTTCTTACTTGTCATCAGCTAAACTTGATAGCAATTTTTTTTTTAGTATATTAATTTTTAAGTATTTTTTATTTTGGAAAATTTCAGACATACAAGAGTAGATTGGATATATAATGTATAATTTTCCAGTTGTAACAGTTAATACCTGATTAATCTTGTCCTGTCCCTGTTCCAACTGGATTATTATTATTTTTTTTACAACTGGATTATTTTGAATTGAATCCCAGATAAAAGAGTCACTCTTATTGTACTAGATAGCAATAGCTCTTAACCGGAGCTGTCAAACATTTGAGGGAGGGAGGGATAGATGGATATCCTGACTTCATTTCAAGACAAAAGGATTCAGAATTTCTGGCTCATTGTTTACCCGAGAAGTCATTTGTACATTTCTTCCTACTCACAGAAAGGCTTCCCTACTGATGCAACCCTTGATGACATAAAAGAATGGTTAGAAGATAAAGGTCAAGTACTAAATATTCAGATGAGAAGAACATTGCATAAAGCATTTAAGGTATGGTTGTATGATATAACAGACTTTTTCTAGTTGAAAAATATATGGGACATAACTAAAAAAAAATCTTTCTCCCCCTTTTAAAAGGGATCAATATTTGCTGTGTTTGATAGCATTGAATCTGCTAAAAAGTTTGTGGAGACCCCTGGACAAAAATACAAAGACACAGATCTGCTAATACTTTTCAAGTAAGTCTTTTTGCTGATGTTTCTTCTGGCCACTTAGTTATGTGGAATTGACACACTGGGGTAAGGAATATGGAATAGCCTCCTCTATAAGTCCAGTAGTTTTGGTATCCATAGGATTCTTTGAGAAATGCTTGAAATTTGTTTAGTGGAAACTTAATCCTTTGAGAATACATAGAAATGTTTATTAATACCTCTTCTCTGTTAGCAACTAGTAAATGAGGCTAAGTTTTAGAACTTATTTTGCATCTAAAATTCATAATCAGGCTGGATACTGAAGTTTGGGCTTTTGGTGTTAGAGAATAAATCACTGTACAATTTTTATCTGTTCTTCTCATAGTCTATATGCCTGTATTTTATATAGTACAAAGGATTTGGATCACATTTTTTAATGTGTGTGTCTAAAAACTTGGACAAACCAGAGCATTTGCATGATAAAGTTAGATGGAGGACCATTGTCTCCTGCTTTTGCATTACATAGTATAATTTTTCTCTCTTTACTGCGACCAGCATGGCTAGAGAGTGGACGAGTCCTGTGTAGGGGCAACGGGGGGGTTGAAAAAAAGAAAGAGACAGACACAGAGACAGTAGGGAAAACTGGGACCAGGTGGGATGCTGCCCTCTGATGAAGAGACAGTGACCCAGAGCTGGTGCAGCGCGTTTATTATAATACAGCATGATACCAGAAAGTTTTACTGGAGTTTAAGACAAAGGAAATTATGTGAAATCATGGTTAAGGATCAAGCTGCAATTCTTCATTCTTGTGGCTTCTTTGTAATTGTCACTCCTGGCTGAGTCCATTCCTGGCGCCTGGCTGAACTTAGATAATGAAACCCACACCCTGGCGCCTGAGCTAAAGGTTAGGCCGACAACATACCTGCCTCAGGCAAGGTATGTTTCCAGGACGTGGCTCTGCCGATGCCCTGGACTCGGCCAACAATCAGCTCATGTGCCTTCCCAGGCGCTCTCTACAACATAGTATTCTAAATATGCTGTGTACTAAACTGGACTTAGAGATGCACTGTGATGAATCATGCTCAGTGTTACATTCTCAAAAGTGTTTTTTCTTTTTTAGACTTCACCCGAGGATATGTTTGTTGGTTTTTAAACAGAACATGATTATATTTAATACACAAGTTTGATACAACCAAAAAGTAAAACAGAGTAAAATAATAACAAAAAAACATGGTATTTCATTTGCAGTGCATGAGAAATGGTTAACATCTTTATGACTTATTTTGCATCTAAAATTCATAATCAGCTCTTAAAAACCAGTAACAGAGACACTATAATGCAAGGAAACTGGAAAAAATAAAATAAGTGATTAAGCATATACAATGATTTTGCTGAGCAGTAATGAAGAATAATTTCTCTATAGTATCACAGTGAGCAGAATAAAGAACTGACACCTAATAGTCTTCAGTTTTGAACAGTATTGTACAGTTTGAACTCTCATAAAAACTGAGAGGCATATTGAGAGAAGTATCTATAATTAGGGGCCCAAGGATATGTTTTTACTGATTAGACTGGGGGGTGGGGGTGGACATCGATGTGAGAGATAGCATCTATGTGTTGCCTCCCATATGTGCCCTGACCAGGGATCGAACCTAAAACTTAGATATTTTCCGATAGGAATTGAACCCACTACCCTTTGGTATACAGGATGACGCTCCAACCGAGCCACCTGGCCAGGACCCCTCAAGAAATATTTTTTAATGTGATTTTTATAATTGTTCTTATTCTTGGGTCTCGGAGGGATTTTAGAATTTTCTCCTTTTGTGAAATGAACACTAGAAAACTCTGAAACTTACATAACTTCTGGTTTACTTTTAAAAAAACATGAATGAGCCCTAGCTGGTTTGGCTCAGTAGATAGAGTGTCAGCCTGCAGACTGAAGGGTCCTGGGTTTGATTCCAGTCAGGGGCACATGGCCTGGGTTGCCGGCTCCGTCCCCAGTGTGGGGCATGTAGGAGGCAACCAATCGATGATTCTCTCTCATCTATGTTTCTATCCCTTCCTCTCTGAAATCAATAAAAAATATACCTTAAAAAATACATGAATAATAAATGAAAACCAATATGAGATTGTTAATGGATATGGGATTTCTTTTGGGGGTCATGAAAATGTTTTGAAATTAGATAATAGTGATGGTTGTACAACCTAAATATATTAAAAGGCATTGAACTATACACTTTAAAACAGTGAATTTTATGGCATGTGAATTAATTCTTAGTAAATCTGTTATTTAAAAAATATAAGAGTAACTTCCTTGATATCTTTTGAATTTTTAGCTAATTATGTTGATGGGAAAAAATGTAACATTCCTATGCCATGTCTTAAATAATTAAAAATAATTTGAAATCTTTGTTCTCATGAATTTAGCCTCTATATTTTGTGTCCTTTAGGGAAGATTACTTTGCAAAGAAAAATGAAGAAAGAAAGCAAAATAAAGTGGAAGCTAAATTACGAGCTAAAAAGTAAGTAAATAGAGCCAATAGAACATTTTAATTCCTTAAATCTTTACAAAGGTAGAGAGTGGTTCTGGGAAATGGGGCTGATGATGAGCTTTAAAATGAGTAGCAATAGGCTTACTTACCTTTTGCTCATGAAACATTGGGGTCTTAAACTGCCTTGATAATCTGGGGGCCACATTGTGTGTGCTAGCATTAGACAATCAGAAATTCTAAGGACTGGCTTTGGTTAAGTTTAGTGATCACGATCAAGGTTATCTTTACCATGATTTAATTTTCTCATATAGTAAGTGGAAAATTCTAATTATATTTTTATTTGTAGAGAGCAAGAAGAAAAACGAAAGTTAGCAGAAGATGCTGAAATGGTAAGTATATATTACTGATATCTAAGAATTTAAAGTTGAGAATAAAAGATCTGAGGACTTTCCAGAAAATATGTAAGCAAATCTGTAGTTGTCATTACACTAAAGTAATAGCCAAGTACTATTGGCTAAAATTATTACTTATCCAGAGATGATTTAATAAACAGACTTATATAACTAAAATATGTAACTAATTAAATATTACTTGTTGGAGAAATTAGTTAAATCAAAAGCCATTGTAGAACAAAGGATGAAATGTACCAACTATTAAAGTACTTAAAAATAGCATTTTAGTTTCTAGTCTTTTCCTTGTATAGGTATAGAGTGGTGTAAGCTATTTCTGATTTGGGGTTGCTTTTTTTTAATCTTTAAATTTGGGGTTGCTTTTAAGAAACTTTTATTGCCTTGTTTTTATAGAAATCTCTAGAAGAAAAGATTGGCTGCTTGTTGAAATTTTCAGGGGACCTAGATGATCAGACCTGTAGAGAAGATTTGCACATCCTTTTCTCAAACCATGGTGAAATAAAATGGATAGACTTTGTCAGAGGAGCAAAAGAGGTTTGGAAACATTCATTCATATGCTTTTATGCCAATGTTGAAAAATCCACAGAAATTTATCTTTTAGATGAAATCATTAGTAGAGAGAATCATTGTTTATGCAAATAGCTTCTCTTTAATTACTTGTCCATCTTGTTATTGCTTTGACTCCATGTGATACCTGTATTTTGTTTTAAAAATATATTTTTATTGATTTTTAGAGAAAGGGGAATGGGGAGAGAAATATTGATCAGCTGCCTCCTGCACGCCCCCTACTGGGGATGGAGCCTGCAACCTGGGCAAGTGCCCTGACTGGGAATCAAACCAATGATCTGGTGCATGAGTCTATTTTCAACCACTGAGCCATATTGGCCAGGCAATACCTGATATTTTCTGTTATGCTGTAAATAATTGTTGGATCAGTGACTGCAAGTTTTGTAGTATCTTCCTGATGTTCACTAAAATTCATTGAAACTGGTAATGTCATGGAAGATTTTGCAGGCTAGGAAAAATTACTTTGAAGGTATTAACTGTGAGACTAAAAACTTAAGGGTGTGGCTTTTTGTCTTTGATGTAGGGAATAATTCTATTTAAAGAAAAAGCTAAGGAAGCACTGGAGAAAGCCAAAGATGCAAATAATGGTAACCTTCAAATAAAGAACAAAGAAGTGACATGGGAAGTACTAGATGGAGATGTGGAAAAAGAAGCATTGAAAAAAATCATAGACGATCAACAAGAATCCCTCAGCAAATGGAAGTCAAAAGGTTATTCTTATTTTTTTCTGAGAATTTGGATATTTACTCATTTGCTTGAGTAAAAAGTATAATAGGTGTTCAAAGACAGTGACAAGATACTTAAAACATTTCTTTACTGATTTCTCAATTGCCTCTTTAGGTCGCAGATTTAAAGGAAAAGGAAAGGGAAATAAAGTTGCCCAGACTGGGTCTGCTAAAGGAAAAGCACAGTTCCAGGGCAAGAAAACTAAATTTGATAGTGATGATGAACATGAAGAAAATGGTGCATCTGGTAAGTTTTTCTAAGTCCTTTGGTACTTACATGAGAAATTATTTGTGGGAGAGAACAGTGATGTGGTTTTTCAGTTTCTGTATGAGTGGCATTATTGGATTGCAATTTACCCTGGTTGTGCTGTTTTTACAAATGGATAACAAGGATGTTTGGAAGTTAAGGTTAGAGAGCAGAAGGTCTGTACTACAAGAAAAGCCCTTTCTCATTGGTAATTGTGCTCCTTACTAAAATAGAGTAATCCTTACAATGAACTTAATAAAAATTAATTCTGTTATTGTGTAGGACCGGTAAAAAGAGCAAGAGAAGAAACAGACAAAGAAGAACCTGCATCAAAACAGCAGAAAACAGAAAATGGTGCCGGAGACCAGTAGTTTAGTAAACAAATTTTGTATTCATTTTAATTAGGTTTTTAGCTGCATTTGTCTTTGGTGGCTTTTAAAAAGAAAACCGAATTAGGTCCACTTCAATGTCTACCTGTAAGAAAAGAAAATTTTTTATTGTTTAGCTTGTCTTTTTGTTATCCAAATGAGGATTTTTTTTTAATGTACAGTTGTATGTTATTCAGATGATTCAAATATCAAAAGAAAGATTCTTGTACTAAATTGCCTTTGTAATATGAGAATGTATTAGTACAAACGAATAAAATGTATACTATATAAAAAGAGCAAAAACTTAGTTTATTTTTTCTTTTTCTGTCCAAAGTATTTGAGAAATAATTTATCTTAAACTAGAGTATTGGCTGTGGATTATAGGCTGTTCCATAATCTGTCTCCCAGGCTGGCTTTCTGTATTTACTCAGGCAACTTGATAACATAAGAATTAATTACTTATTGTAAAGTTCAAGAGACTTACTGATTTCTTTTTATGAAATTTGTATGATGCCGGCAGGTCATATCTCAGCTCTATAAAAAAAAAAAAAAAAGCCACTTAAGGATAAAAACTGTATTTCCAAGCATTTACCACCTTTGACTAAAAAAACCCCACGAATTAAGAAAGCACTAAATGCTGGTAAACTGAAGATTTTAGACCTGTCACTTTAACTTGGTATCCAAGGACTGCCATGTATCCCCAAGGTTACCCATGGCAAGTTGAGTTTGGCATTTCTGCTATTTTGGTAATTTATACCAAAATTTGAGATTATAGGGAAGAGTTTAGAAGTCTAACTTGTTAGAAGCATAACAAGTGGACAAAAGTATATCCTATGAAAATGATAGTACCTTCCTATTTTTAGTTTCCTAATCAATAGCAATCTCATACCTATTTAAGTTTTATTGTCTGGATTTTAGTAATGGTAGTAAGTAGCCATGTATTTTCCTACTATGCTCTCAAATGAAAACCAACTTTTTCATATTCCTTTCTAAAGTATAATGTAGGTCCTCCAAACTTACTACTGATCCATTTTAGCGGGATGGCAATGAGTCTACCTATCCCTTCATATTTTACAACATAAATTCTAACTATAGGTCACAGCTCTCAAATTTTAATGTGCATTGAGGCGCAAGTTATAATTCAGTAGATCTGAGTGGAGCCTGAAATTTTGCAAGTCTAACAAGCTCCCAAGGGATGTCAATGGTCATCATCTAAAACTACATTTGGAGTAGCAAGGCTCTGGTTTGGTATTATACTGGAATTGTTCTAAGGTGCTCCATGTTGCATATTCCAATAACTTAAATTACATAAGGAATGACAATACTGAATATAATAGAAAGACTGACCTTTTACACATTATATTAAGAACAGTAATAGATCTAGTTATATGGTTAACACCATCGTGCTAGTTCATAGTTTATTATCGTGTAAAAACATTTCCCCTTATTGTACTCTTATTTCAGACTTTTCAAAATTATTTGGATTACAGTTAGCTTCTAGTTGTATGCTTTCCCTATTTTAATGTTTGTGAATATTCAGTTTACTAATAAAAATGTACCAAGCATGATTTACTCAGTGTGGATGATTATATTCTATCCCCTACTAAAAAAAAGCTTCATGTTATTTGACTTCAGGGGCAATTAGAAAATTGAAAGACAGGTGATCCAGCCCTAGCTGGTTTGGCTCGATTCCAGTCAAGGACACATGCCTGGGTTGCAGTCTCAATCCCCAGTAGGGGGTGTGCAGGAGTCAGCCAATCAATGATTCTCTCTCATCATTGATGTTTCTATCTCTCCCTTCTCTGAAATCAGTAAAATATATATATTAAAAAAAGAAAAGGCAGCAATAGTTTTAAAAAAAGGTGATCCAGGCATAATCTGGTGGTATTTTCCATGAATGGATTTCAAACTGAGGTCTGACCAACTCTAAACCCAAGCTTTTCAGTCATTGAAGCTATAAAGGGTCTGAGCTTGGAGTGACCAAATACTTGGGTGCTATTAGAAGTTTTCAGTAAAATGCAATACATAAATTGGGACAGTCTTAGACAAACATTGATACCCTGCCTTTACTCTATTTACTACCCATTTACCACACTAAAAAACGTGATTTACACTATCATCTTAGCACCTGTATAAAAATTCTGGTTTGGCTAATGCATTTTGGCTTTCTTATATAGAATTTAGATTTGTTTTATGAGAAACTTAAAACTCTTACCTGCAATGATGTCTATCTTGATTTTCCATTCTGCAGCTTTCTTTTGAATATGCTGAACATAATAACATGTTAATGTGAACTGATTTGTAAATATTTTTAAATTGCTTTTTACTAATACTTGGTATTAAGTTTTCAAAAAATTCAAGCTTTTAAAACTTCATTAGAATTTAGATCCTTAAATTTTTTTCAATTGATTGGATCACATTTAGAAAATCAAGCCATTTCAATATATTTAACCACCTGAGCCAAATTACATATTTAAATAAAATCCAAGTCACAAAGTTATTATTTCAGAAATACATCAAAGTGTACAACGTAACCATGGTTTCTGCAGCATTATTTCATCAATAATATATAACTATCCTGGAAACCATTCAACAGAGATCTATGTACATGGTCAGTGGCAGTAGGGGATAGTAGTTAAGAACATGGTCTCTAGAACCAGACAGCCTTGCATCTGAACTGCTGCTCTGCTACTTACCAGCTTTGTAACCCTGAGCTACTCATTCTTTTTGTGCCTCAGTTTCTTCATCTGTTAAATGAGGATAATAATGGTATCTTTCATCTGATTGTTGAGGAATATGAAAAGTGCTTTGAACTGTCCTGGCACACAGTAAGTACTAAATGTTAACTACTCGTAGGTCTAAAATTCTTGAACTACTTCATAAAATTTTTGGTTATAAAAATTGCTTTATGAATTTTTAAAAATATACACATTTCAACATAAATGGAAAAAAAGTTGCCCATAATCCCCTAAATAAATTATGTGCATAATTTGCTAGAAATTTAGAGATATTAATATTTGGTATAAGCATTTTATTCATGTTGATAGTATGATTAAGCTGGTTGATAAACTAACTTTCCCTAAATTTTAGGGAAATATTTTCATTATAAACAATACTGACACTGTGTGTGTGCATGTAGTTTTTTCTTGAATTTAATAAATAATCCTAGTTTGGGTATATTTTCCCATTTTTGAAATCTAGAATTTCTGTATAAGAATACAGACTTGCCTGGCCAGTATTGCTCAGTGGTTGAGTGTGGACCTATGGACCAGGAGGTCACAGTTCAATTCCTAGTCGGAGCATATGCCCAGGTTCTTGTCTAATATTTACATTTATTTACCAGTAAATACATTTCACAGCAAATCCTTACAACACTCATGATTTCAAAAATAAATGACAGAATATCATGATGATTTGAACTTACTTCTCTAGTTGAGGATTTGTGTAAAGAATATACTGCTGTTCTTGCCATTTCCAAAGCAGTCTTCAGAAATGCCATATCTGTTCCTGTTAACAGTAGAAAAAGCTCCAATTTAAATTATATACCTGTTATCAAAATAGAAGATTAAATGAATACCAGGTATTAATAAATATGAAAATAGCCACTTCAAATTCTGCAAAAAGACAGAGTACAAATAAGTAAAACATCCAAATATCTTATAAGTTGATAGAATAAAACCAGAACTATAATGTCGTATTTGAATAAGGATAAAGTAAAAATTTTAGTATCATATTCCAAATTAATAACTTTCAAAAAAGGGAGAAAGGAACAGAGTAGTAATTAGAATCAGGTGGGGGTGGGGGGTGCAAGGAGGACTTTTTAAAACTGCATGTCTTTTCCTCTTACTGATTTCCTACCCTCCTTGCGCACAGCATTCACACAAAAAAAGCCACAGTGAGTCACTGTTACTGAAAGAGGTTCCAGCCCTATCCGGTTTGGCTCTGGATACAGCGTCAGCCTGAGGACTGAAAGGTCCCGGGTTTGATTCATGTCAAGGGCACATGCTCGGGTTGCGGGTTCACTCCCCAGTAGGGGGCGTGCAGGAGGCAGCTGATAAGTGATTCTCATCATTGATGTTTTTATCTCTCCCTCTCCATTCCTCTCTGGAAAAAAATAAAAAATAAAAAAATAAATTATATATATATATGGGGTTCTAGCCTTGGCTGGCATGGTTTAGTGGTTCGGCCCAAGAATAAAAGAGTCTCGAGTTCTATTCCAGTCAAGGGCACATACCTGGGTTGCAGATTCCCCACCCAGGCTGGGGTGCGTGGGGTAGGCAACCATTTGATATGGGTCCCTCACATGGATGTTTTCTCTTTCTCCCCCCCTCACTTCCAATCTCTCTAAAATCAATGGAAAAAATATCCTCCAGGATTAACCAAAAAAAGAAAAAGAAAAAAGGAGGTTCTATGTGAAAGTATAAAATACTTTATAGGATTCATAATCATTCATAAAGGGCAGGTAAATCATTGTTGAAACCAGATGGAGTATAAAAATATTTTTTTTCATTTAATACAAATTTGTGAAAACAAAGATTAAAAAATTCAATTCCCTATCCATGCATTAAACAAATTGAAATTGTAATAACTATAGATAAGAGATTGGTGTATTTACTGTAGAGTGATAAAAACACTTAACCTAAACAATCAATAAGCAACTGGTTTTTAAAACCAATATATCTGAGTTTTGTTACTAACCTTTATTATTTTTGGTTCCAAAAGGAGGATTCATAATTACTGTATCAAACGACTTGGACATTCTGTTAGCTAATGAGCACACATCACATTGAACCATGTCAACATTTGTTAACTCGAACTCTTCCACATTCCTATTAAATATTTCCAATGCATCTTCATCTATGTCAAATCCAACACACAACCTATAAATACAAAACATAGACAAAGATTCACTATTTATGGCTTCCAAGTCAAAGCAATAACAATAAAAACCATAACTCAACTGGCAAAGTAAGAGTGAGTGTTACCTTTCAACAGCATGATTTACCAATCTGGCAGGGGTTGGAAACTCAGGTTTGTATACAAGGGAGACATCTGCCTGCTGGTGTTACTGGTTTTGTTGTTGTATTTTTTTTCGTTCTGCTTGTTCAAAATTAACTCATTATACTATAGAGTCCCATAAATATAACCAGTTGATCCTATTTATGCTTATTAAAGCCACCCCATACCAAATAATATATACTGGACCTACCCTGCTCCTAACATTGCAGTTCCGATGCTGAGTACTCCACAACCACATCCTAGATCTGCAACCACTTTATTTTCAATGTCATCATATGTGTTATGAATTGTATAGAGCATACATGCTAAAAGATCAAAAAACATTAGAGAATAAGTAAGCAAGTTGATGACCAAAATCCAATTTGTGCAAATGACTCTTTAAAACAATTTGTATTTCATTATCTAGTTCTCCCCCAAATGGTACCCTAGAACATAAGGCATAATACCTTGGTATGTAATTCAAAGTCTCACACACAAAAATAATAAAACCCATATCAGTGGTTCCCCAAAATTAGTCTCTGCTGACAATGCCAAGAATGACAAAACTTTGAGGTAAATGAGAAAAATAAGGTCAATGTTTTTCCCCTCAACCTGTTTAAAACATTGCCATCCATACACATATATCAGTTATCTTTGATGTTGAAATATTTTTATGAAAGGATGGGAAGAGTAAATAGGTTTTAAAAATATCTTTCCCTGTTAATATATAAATTTGGCAATGCTATATCAGTGTCCAAAATTATTTTGAAATTTTACTGATTTGTGAAATCTGTAAGTCTAGGAACCACGCATTAACATTAAAATGGCACAGAACTTTTTTGCAACAAATTTGTCACCAGGTACCATAAGCTTAAACTAGAATGGGAAAGGAAAAAACTAAACCCACAATATAGCTTTTAGACTCACATATTTAGACATATATTTATGATTTACAGCTATATATTCATAATCTATTAATACAGTGGTTCTCAACCTTCCTAATGCTGCAACCCTTTAATACAGTTCCTCATGTTGTGGTGACCCCCAACCATAAAATTATTTTCGTTGCTACTTCATAACTGTAATTTTGCTACTGTTATGAATCGTAATGTAAATATCTGATATGCAGGATGTATTTTCATTGTTACAAACTGAACATAATTAAAGCATAGTGATTAATCACAAAAACAATATGTAATTATATATGTGTTTTCCGATGATCTTAGGCGACCCCTGTGAAAGGGTCGTTCGACCCCCAAAGGGGTCGCGACCCGCGACCCACAGGTTGAGAACCGCTGTACTAAGAAGACCTGATAGAACTATTGAGCTGTAGAGCAGAAGATACTGAGATTGGAAAGGGATATTTCAAATACACAAAGGTCTGGTATACGCTGAAGGTTACTCATGAGTAAGATCACTGATATCTCCCTATCGATATATGAACCCTATAAGGATTACTGGCCATCACTGATGCCCCAGGATCGTTTTATCAAAAATCCAATTATGGGACATCTCAGGCCGACTGTGCTGTCCTGATTATAGCTGCAGGTGTTAGTGACTTTGAAGCTGGTAAAGAATTAGCACATCCATGTGCATGTTACAACTGGCCTTTTAAAAAGCTGAATTCCACTTAGAAACCCTATAACCTGAGATATTAAATAAGTCATTAGCTAAATTGAGTGAACTGGTCTTAATATTTGGTTGAAATTATGACAGTATGTTGGAGTTAAGTTCCTTGACATTCACTGGCAGCTTAGAAACAAAACCATGTTGGAGCTGGATGAGTTTCCTCCTTGCAGGTGTTGCCAACAAATTAATTTTCCTAAGACTCCCCAATGACTTTGATAATACATTTATTAAATATGAATGGTTTTTCCTGTATTACTGGTATCAGTCTCTCAGATCAAGCAACACTACTGATTCTCACTCAGATCATTTTTAAAATTGAAATGCATCTTCATAGTTATATAGCGCCTATTCTGGATTTGTTAAAAGTCCTTCAGCTAGCCAGCTCTAGTATTCATTTCTAGGACAGAGTATAGTATAGAATCTGTGCTGACAATTCCTTGCAAAAGGAAATTGATCCTTATTTTACAAATATTTACTGAGCTCCTAACTAGTATCAGAAACTCTTCAGGCACGGGGAATTCTTTGCCCTTGAGGAATTTACAGTGTAATGAGAGAAACAAACACATTAAAAAGATGTCTGACAGTATTAAGGGCATGCAGAAGCCAAACAGTAAAATGGCAACGTGTGTATCTGTGTGTGGGGTGTCTTTAGCCGTGGTGTCAAGGAAGTCCTCTCTAATGTGATATGTAATCTTTCAGCAGATTTCCTCTGGATGTTCTTTGTATGTAAATAACTGTCCTCATTTCATTATAGAGTGAGCAGACAGGACTCACCCACCCGAGAAGCAAAGGCGTGGTCACCAGCTGCCCTACCTGCAATGTGCGGCCTGGTGGGATACTGTTCTAGGAGTAACTTGGGCTTTTCGAATCCATCCACTTGTTGCAGGCGACTCTCTAGTTCTTTAAGTCTTAATTTCTTCATTTTTTTTTTTTTTTAAAGTGTGGGTTCTCAGGGTTTAACGGCACCGGATCTGCAGAGAAATTATTTAACCTGAATTTCCCGAGCCCCCAAGCCCCCGCCCATTTTTCAGCGCCGCTGGCCCAGGGCCGGGCAGGGGACGAATGGCGGTAAGGACACACCGGCCAGGCCGTGTGCGTCTCCTCCCGGCGCTATCGGCGAGCGGAGTCTTCCGCCAGCCTCTGAGCAGCCTGCCTCCAGGGTATCCTGCGCCGATCTCAGGATCCTCGATCAGCGGCGGCTCCAGCCCGGGTTTCAACGCACCGCGTCGGCGTATTTCAAGAGGTTGCTAGCGCCGTGGCTGGGGCCGGAAGCGCCGCTAACCAGGCGCGCTCGCGTTCGTCCCAGTGCTGCCTCCGAGCTGCAACCGCGGCCTGGCTCACGGGTTCCGCTGGCGACTCCGTCCTCATCCACCTCCACTCCGCCCTTCTCGCAGCGCCCCAGCCGGGCCTCCCCCCCACCTCTGCACCCCCCGCCCCCCCCGTTACACTCAAAGGATAGGGGTACAAAGAGGGTGAAAATGATGGGGAAAGCGGGTGAAAGTCACGGTCACTTTGTTTTAATGCCCAGTGTAGCCCTTTCTGTCCTCAATCTCCCAACTCCCCTCTCAAAAAGCAGCGATCTCCTCACCTTTGCCTCCTTGGTCATGAGCATGCCCTATTTATTATAACTTTGTTTCCCTCTTTTTAGGTCACCCGTGTCACTTCCGTGTCACTTACCTCAACTCTCACAGGGTAGTGATGTCAGAGAAGCCCAAAGAAGAGAGAGTTTAGATGAAGAAATAGGTAGTAGTGTGAAATGCTGGAAAGAGTAGGAGCAGAAATCAACTTGTAGTGGATTTTGAACGGAATGAAAGTTTCGGAAGTAGAAAGAATACATGTGAACAAGTTTTAAGAAATGTGGCTACGAAAAGGGGAGTGAGAATTGTTGATGGATTTGTAAGGTTAGGGGAAGCTTTCGAACAGGTTAAAGCTAATAGAAAGGTAGGGATTCAAAATACAAGAAAGAGGATATTGGATGGAGTTAGGATCCTAAGAGGTAGATTCTGTGCTTAAGTGAAAGGATTGCCTTTAATCTGCGAAATAGGCCTTTCTTTTCATTATTTTAAAGGAAGAAAAAGAGGTGGTTTAGCCTGAGGACTAAAGAGTCCCGGGTTCAATTCCAGGTTGTGGGCTCCATCCCCAGTAGGGGGCGTGCAGGAGGCAGCTGATCAATGAGTCTCTCTCATCATTGATGATTCTATCTCTCTTTCTCCCTCTCCTTTCCTCTCTGAAATTATATATATATATATATAGTGAAAATAATATATATATATATATAAATACATGGATGGATGAGAATGAAGTAGAGGAAGTGGTGTCTGAGGCTGCTGTTTCCTGTGAAAAGTAGAATTCAAAGTTATCTGTTGTAAGGATTAAATAAGTTAATACATAAAAGTTCTTACACATAAAGTTACTACATAAAGTTCTTTGTCACATAACACATACCCAATAGTTGTTGTTGCTGGTATTTGTTGAGAGGGAGGTGGCTAGAGTAAGGAGTTTGAACCAAATGGATAATTGAAAGTAGCCGGATATATGGAAAGAAAACAGACCTATATGTGGTTGAAAACATTTTTTCTATTAAAAATTTGATTTAAAATTTTTATTTTTAGATAATTGTAAAGTCATATACAATCATAAGAAATAACACATAGAGATTCTCTATATATTTTACTCAGTTTTCCCCAATAATAACATTTTGCAAAACTATAGTATCACAACCGGATATTGACAGATACAGTCAAGACACAGTATTTCCATCACCACAAAGATCCTTCGTGTGGCATCATTTTAGCTTCCTATAAGCAATGTATGACCAAGTTCCTATAACCAAGTTCTCCATATCCTCACCAACACTTATTATTTTTCATTTTAAAAATTGTAGCCATCCTATCAGGTATGAAGTAGCAATTAATTGCGGTTCGATTTATATTTCCCTGATGAACATTTTAAAATATGCTTCTTGATAATTTCTATAGCTTCTTTGGATAAATAACGATCCAAATCCTTTGCTTATTTCAAAATTGGGTTATTCATGTTTTTATTGTTGAGTTGTAAGAGTTCTTTGTGTATTCTACATACTTGATCCTTAGCAGTTATATACTACTAGTCTGTAAATATTTTCTCCCATTCTGTGGGTTGTCTTTTTAAAAAAATAAATTTTTATTGATTTCAGAGAGGAAGGGAGAGGGAGAGATAGAAACATCAGTGATGAGAGAGAATCATTGATTGGCTGCCTCCTGCACGCCCCCTACTGGGGACTGAGCTTGCAACCCGGGTATGTGCCCTGACTGGGAATTGAACCATGTCCTCCTGGTTCATAGGTCGATGCTCAACCACTGAGTCACACTGGCCGGGCTATTTTATTCTTTTTGAAGCAGCTGTGAGTGGGATTGTTCTTTTTAGTTTCCTTTTCTGATAGTTCATTATTGGTGTATAAAAATGCAACTGATTTCATTATTTTGTATCCTGCTACTTTACTGAACTCATTTATCAGTTCTAATAGTTTTTGGTGTAATCTTTAGAGATCTCTATATACAATATCATGAAATCTGCAAATAATGACAGTTTTACTTTTTCCTTTTTAATTTGGATGCCCTTTTATTTCTTCTTCTTGTCTGATTGCTGTGGCTAGGACTTCCAGTTCTATGTTGAATAAGAGTGGTGAAAGTAGACATCCTGTCATGTCCCTGATCTTAAGGGAAACACTCATAGTTTTTGCCCATTGAGTATGATGCTGGCTGTGGGTGGAAGTCTGTAACTCTTAACTGTTTCTTTTAATAAATAGAAATTTTAAATTAACTCATTTTGTTAGTCTTTTATTTTGTGGTTAGTACTTTGTTTTTTTCATTCCCAGATTATAAGTAATAATAATTGTAGTAACAATAATACTGCATTTGTAGATTAGGTTACAATTTATAATATGCTTCCATCAGTGTGTAAGCTCAGTGTAAGGAGCATTGTATGTGAATGGTGTTCCCTAGATTTGTGTCATGCTAAGCCATGCCATGGACCATGTGTTTTGCTCACAGTAATTAGTAGGAGCTCAACAAACACTTATTGAATCAATTTGCTGCATGAATAAGGCAGTGGGTGAAAATCTTCTGGCCTTTAGTAGGGATGAAGAGAAGGAAACTTTCCTTGGATTAAAAAAAAAAAAAGAATGGAGGAAAAGAAAAGGAGGACAACTTGTAATGGTATTGAATGATAATAAAAAAAGACCCCAGAGAGTTGTGAAGCATTCATAACCTTGGAAAAGTTGCTCCTGTAGAGGAGCTAAAATAGGTCAAACACTTAATGCACTGTCATGGTTTTTTCCTCCAAAATATTTCTAAAGCACAACTTGAGAAAATTACTAAAACGTCTTTGCTTCAATATTAATCAAATGAGAGACTGGCAGTAAGTTTAGTTTGCAAGGTAGGTATTAAGCTAGGAAGGAAGGAAGAAAGAAGGGAGAAAGACAGGCACACTCAAAAACAATGAATGATTTTTCTACCAGGGTTTGTTCTTATGGTTTGAAGGCTGTGAAATGAAGGGTATCACTGCTATTTGTAAAACGGGGATAATGAGAAGTGCCTCTCAGGGTGGCTGTGAATCTTAAATGTGCTCACTGGGAGGAATTCCTGTACATAGTAGGCACAATGTTTCTTACCATGTGAAATTTCAACATTTGCCATTAGAACTGGCAGATTTGCTGTGTATGTAGAGAAGGTCTTGTGTATATTTGGAGGCGAGGTAGAAATTGAGAAATTAACGTTCTAAGCATTGTGTATGTTTATGTTCCCAGCAGGTATGGCTCCTCTATTTCTGATAGTAAGGATGGCATGGGCCATCCAGGGTTTGAAGTGGATCTGGCAGAGAAGAGACCCTTTTTCTTTGTTGTGAAGTGGGATGTGGCCTAGAGCTGGGGCTGGGGGAGGCCCATGCACAGAAGACAACAGAGCTGATGCTCACCGAAAACAAAGGTGGATACACATCCAGGTTCATATCCCCCTTCCCTCGGTTGTTTACATGATCTAATCTGGTCCTCTGTTTGGCTTCAGCTAGTTCAAGTTGGGTTTTTATCACTCGCAACTAAGAAATTCTTGATTAATGCAAAAACAATTTTGAAGTATTTACATTAATTTTTAAATTCTCTGTTGAAGGTATCTACTTTAAGTTTGGAAGTGATGATGTTATCTATCATTTATTTATAGCTTTTAACTGATCTGTGTGGTTTATTTTAATTTGAAAAGCCAATTGAGAAGTACTACCAGATTTTTCTTTTCTATGCATTAATTAAGATGAAATACATAAAAGCACAGTTTTTTAGATACTATTTTTTAGCTTTCTGTAACTGCAGCATATTGCATTATTTATTCAGTGTCTTCAGTAGAGTAATAGTAGCACACTTAAATAAAATCCTATGAGGTATAACAGTGAAGTGAGTACTGAGTTTTCAGCTGAATTTCAATCTGGCTTTCCCTCATGGAAGTATGATTGTTGTAGGAATTCCCCATTACACAGCACTGTTATTTGAAAGGTAATTTAGAGGAAGAATTGTTATATTACACTAATGCATTGAAAGGGAAAAATGTCAGACTTCCTGGATCCAAATGATAGAAGTCCCAGATACTTTAGGAGAACCAAAGATTTGAGAGACGGTAATAGTGATTTTGAAAGCTAAAGCAGTAAAATAGTTTCTATCTGGACAGAAATGATTGTTATTCATCTCAAACAATAAGTACTACTACTGATTATGATCATTAACTGTTTTGTGGAGGTATACTTTCACACTATAAAATCCACCTGTTTTTAGAGTAGAATGCAATGATTTTTAGTAAGTTTTACATAGTTGTGCAACCATCACCACAATCCAAATTTAGAACATTTGTATCATTCTATAAAGACCCTTAGTACCTATTTGCTGTCACTTTCCGTTCTTATCTTCCCATAGATTATTCAACTGCTAATCTACTTTCTGTCTCTATAGATTTGCCTTTTCTGAACAGTTCATGTAAATGGAATCATAAAATATAAATTATAAATACAATATCTGACTTCTTTCATTGACATAGATTTTTGAAGTTCATCCATGTTATAACACATATTTCATGCCTTTTTATTGTTTAGTATACCATTATATGAATATACCGTATTTTGTTTATCCATTTACGAATTGATAGGCTTTTGGATTGCTTCCAGTTTTTTTTTGGCTACTATATTTACCTTTAAGTCTTTGTGTGGATATATGTTGTAAATTATCTTGGGTAGATTCCTAGGAGTGGAATTAAAGAGCTCTGTGGTAAATGTCAAGCTAACTGTCAAACTTTTTCCACATGCTGTACTATTGTACATTCCCATCCGTGAAGCATGAGGGTGCCTGCTTCTCCACGTCCTTGCCAACATTTGTTATTGTCTGTCTTGTTTTTTTTTTTTAAATATATTTTATTGATTTTTTTACAGAGAGGAAGGGAGAGTGATAGAGAGAAACATCGATCAGCTCCCCCCACCTCCCCACTGGGGATGTGCCCGCAACCAAGGTACATGCCCTTGACCGGAATCGAACCTGGGACCCTTGAGTCCAAAGGCCGACGCTCTATCCACCGAGCCAAACCGGTTAGGGCTGTCTTGTTGATCATTGCCATTCTAGTGGGTGTGTATAGCGGTATCTCGTAGCTTTAATTTGCATTTCCTTAACGACTAATGATGCTGAGCACCTTTTCTGTGTCCGTTTGCCATTGACATATTAATTATGGATTCGACAATGGGAATTTATATCGCCAAACGAAATGCAGATGCTTAAAACACATCTGAAAGATGCTGCGTATAATTCCTATATCCAGGCACATTAAAAAAAAAACAACAAACCCCACCATTGTCCACATTAAAGATTTTTCATACTAAAGAATTCTCATATGAAATATTTCAGTTGCTCTTAACTTTGCGAGCCAAGAGGTGGTGGGGAGTGAATGCAGCAACCTTCGCAGCGAGCCGCGGCGTGTGCAGACCGCACCAGCACCGCAGTCTGAGGGGGCGTGT